TTATCGCCTTTCGTGCTTCATGGTCACTTTGAATACCTGCGTGTTGCGTTGCATTAAAAGCACTAGACATAACTGTCCAGCACCAGATATAACTGTCTTATTATCTTAAATTTGCGTCAAGAAAATGTGAGCGAAAAATATGTGCTTGCAATTTTTGCAAGCTTTAAAAAAAAGAGAAAAGAATTTAATTAAAAATACTATTTTCTTATTTTTGTGATAATTTAAATATTTATAAAATAATATATAATTAATATATATTTTGTGTATGTGTATATGAGTGAGAAAATAAACTTTAAAATACTTTTCTTTGAATAAATAAAATTTTAATAAAACTTTTAAAAAATTATGTGATATCTGTCACGGGTTTTTTGAAAAATTTTTGGCCCATGTTGATATGCTCTTACGGTAGAGTGTATTAATTATCGAACGTCGTTGCGATGCGACTGGATTCGTTAATCGACTGCGCGACCTGATTAAATATTTGAAAGGAGAGGCAACGTGACGTAAGTGGAAGCTCACGATCGACGTCAGCCAGAACGCCTTCGGAATCCGCAATGAAATGCTTGTTTACGATGATTTACCGAACCTTCGTTGCTTTTCCACGAAGATCTCGTTCGAGCAGAAATTTTTATTTTTATATTACGTAACGCCGTCAATTTGTCAATCGCGATTGAAATCAGATTTGCCGCGTTTGACATCAGAAACGCGTGCGGGCTTTTAATGCATAACAAATCGAGGACGGGGACGAGATCGATCGATATTTTATGTTAATTAGGGGATAGAGGAGATAATAATCTTGTTGCTATAATATGATGACTTAATGTAGTTCTCCATACTGGAATTTTTGAGAACATGTTTGTTTGAAATATGACAATTTAAATTGGAAATGTTGATATATTTTTTCCATGTAATATTGATCATATTAATCTGTGACAGAATTTGTATAAGATATTTTTTTATTAAAACCAACACGTCACATAGGATACTTTTTTAACAATGCACGTATTCTAATGCCGTATACATGCCATATATGTGCGCTTGAGCGTTCCTAAATTTATTTACGTACGATATATCAACGATACAACATAGTTTCTCCGTAAACTTGCGGCTATGCATCACGTGCAAGATCACACAACTACGGGATATTATATCTTCGCCGCGAAGATACTTGCCGCGCGACATAACGTTCCGTGCAACGGATTATTTAACACCTCGAGATACGACAAGCGAAAAATTTGCGTCGTCTTACATCATGGAGAAAATTCCGCTCGTGACAATTACGCGCACAGCCGCGCCGTGTATGCTTGTTAATTTATCGAGCGGTCCATATAAATCGTTCGCTGGAAAAAAAGTGTCACCGGCAGTCGCGGAAGGCAGGGAAACGTGGTATTCTGGCCACGTGTCCGCGCTTCTCAGCGGTCCGTGACTAAGAATTTCGCACAGCACGGCCGTGTCGTGTTATACATTGCAAACTGCACGGTATCGATAAATAATTTTCACCGAGTGTCAAAAGCACGCCGCTGGATATACGCTCGTATACAAGCGCGCGCGATGGTATACGAAGTGCTTTTAAACTCTGGTTAAGAAATCTTTTAAAAACTTCGTTAATTGATTGATAAAGATAACGTAAATTTGGTAATATCGTCTTCGCCAGTTAAAATTATATGTCTTAATTAACATTTTATGACGTAGAGACGGTTCGCTGGTTTTAAGCACTTTTCTTTGAATATAAATTAACTTTCTCATTAGAATTCTTGGAAGGCATCAAAGCGCGTATGAATTGAACGAACATACTTTGCCAGTTGTTTCTCAACTGTCTGAACAATTTGTCTGGCATGTAAACGTTGAATTTCAAACAGCCGTAATTGATTGTAAATATGGACATGTACATGATGCATTCTCAGATCTGGGTCGATCTTAGGTGCCAATGGAACACGTTCTCAAACTTAGATTGGATCTCTAGTAGACATCTCCTGTATATTTAAGATGATCCGACTCGGCGATAAGGGAAAGTGATCGATAACATGGTCGGTTTAACGCACCCGTTGTAGAGTAAATTCCGATCTTCGAACTATCGAAAGGCAATTTAAAACGAAGCCGACTTACGAACTTATTGATAAAGATGATGATAAAGAACGGTAATAGAAAGCTGCCAAATAGACGACATGTAATTTAACGAAACTGAATATTATAGTAAATCGGAGATCTATCAATAATAAAATTATCAACTATTGAAAAATTAGTTGCAAGGATCAATCAAGTTTATCTTTGTCCCAAAATAGAAGTAAAAAGGAAATATCTTTCAGCTTCAAGGAAACATTGCTACCACTGGTTAGAAAATTCAAGAAGTAGCACGAACTACTCCTTCTACGCTTCACGATTCTCCCGCGATAAATATAATTAATTGCTAACCAGACAGTTTCTTCAATCATCGAGATACATAAAAATAACAATGAAATGGAACACCTCCCTCGCGCCACCGCTGGCGGGTAAAGAAACAAACGGAACACCTTTGGCATCGTAAATCGCGCTCTCGATGACTCGATAAGCACGTACGCGAGCATATAAAAACGCGATAAACTGCTGATCTCTTCGGCGATCGGCAGTTCGATCATCGATACCCCCGGTTAATGATCACTTCCGGCGGGTTATACACTATCCGTGCGCTCATTGATAAATGATTACGTCGGTGACGTCGCGGGCTACGGTGGGTGGCCGCCTCGTGCGAAGGACACGCGTGTTCGCGTGTTGTATCGGCGCGAGATTCGCGACCGCGATACCGCCGGGCTAGCTCCGGCGATCAATATGAAGCGAAAGCCGCCGCGTACTCGTTCATCGGGCACTCGTTCTGCGACACCACGCCGGCGGATCGATCGATCTACCGGCTGTTTATCGGCCGATCCGATCGATAATGCGCGCGCGGGGGGAGAAAGGGAGTCCCGCGCGATCGGACCGCGGGCGTGTACCTACACGGCGGGCCGATAAATCGTCAGCGACGCCGACGGCGACGTCACTTCGACGGTGTCGAGGAATTGAATCGGTCAGTGTGGTAGAAGGGTGTGTGTACGCTACCAGGTGGTTCTGTAACTCTTTGCGTTGCAGTCAGTATATCGCTGCACGTGCGATTAGAAATAACGCGTGTGTTGACATCTTTTAAATTACAGCCTTATAGTCGATAATATTTATCGACTTTTTAGCAAATATGTGCGAATCTAAAAAAATTATGTATGCAATTATGTTGAATGTATGATTATGTTCTTTTTTCTCAGTTTGCTGCGAGAAGAATTTGCTTTGTCGCTTTAAAACTTCAGGGGCTCTCTCGTTCAGAAAGATTAAAAATAAAAGTAAATGAACTCAATGAATTGCGTAACGTATTATATACCTTTTTGCGCAATATATTTGCTTTATTTTTTCGAATAAATTTTCCAGATATTTGGAATCAGTGATCTGTCGAATTAAAAAAAAAATCATTTGTCATGTGGATTCATCATTTCTCATAAACATAAAATATACGCGCGCGTGACTCGCAATTATTCGGTGGAAATTAAGCGAGATTGTGTAACGTTCTCGAAATGCCGAGATGTACTACGAGCATGAATCGTTGCGTAATCTTTTACACGGACAATTTTATTTTATTATTCGGCGACAAAGAGGCACGTAAGGTTCGACATGCTTGCCTATCTCTGATGCCATCCAGTCGAATTCGCCGACTTGAACGCCGACGTTTCGAAAGTTTTCGCTCGAGATAGGGAAAAAGAAGTCGTACGCGTCTCTCTTTCAGAGAGGCGAAACGAGCTTGTTTCATAATAAGGGACGCTCCTTCAATGCTGAAAAGAATCGGGGACTTTAATGCGAGCAACTCGCGTGCAATTATCTCTGCTTTCTAATTCAAGCACTTGAAGACGCTTGTGAAAATGGTCCCTTTCGCCGTGCCGGTTATTAAATGAATAACCCTTTCTGGGATTTATAATCTCACGAGACTTTCGAATCTTCAATCTTAAACATACAAATGAAGAAATAAAATATCTGAGAATCTAGAATGTAAATCGAATATCTGTGAATTAACTAATAAAGTTTAAAAAGCTACGGATCGATAGATATTCTAAAAATTATTTTATTATTCTATCTTCAACATCGGTTTCTATGAGAAATTATATAAAAATATATCTATCCAATCGAAAAAAAAAAAAACAACTGATAATGAGAAGTTGCAACTCGTGTAACGTGGATACTTCGTTGAATCGCAACAAAATGCAAAACAAATGCATAACCTTCTTTTTATTGCCGGCAATAGAAACACTTTCTCGTGAGGAGAAGCAAGGTTTCCCGAGTTGGTAATTGATCTTACACGAGCATGCCTCCGTGTTTTTGTCCCTCATATGACTCAGCAGGCGATCGCCACTGAAAGCGACTCGAAAGACAAAGTCGAGAGGAGTTTTACCTGCTCTCCGCGGCCTTGCTAACGAAACGATGAACGTGCGTTTGAAATAATCTTGATGCGGCTTCTGAGAATTCAGTTTCGTTCCTATTAATTATCAGAGACGTTCTATATTCTTCCGCCTTTCGGTTCGGTGATGTTTCTCTCCGCGAAACAATGTAACGCTTGGCCAATAACTAGTCCAGCTTTCATGCGTAATAAAAAGAGCAATAAACATACTTTTGCAGTTTTTTTGTTTAGTATTGAATCCGAGAATACATCAGTGACGCTTTCTTTGAGTTAGGTAATATATTTGTCGTGTTGCACAGAGAATGCAACGGCGAAAATAACAATTTGGTCTCGAAATTTCCGAAAAATTTACATTTGAATGCAATCAATCGTTTGAAAAATGTTAAGTTTTAAAAATAGAAGAAAATATATTCGAAACAGAGCTTCTTCGCATTCGACCCGAGTTCTTACACCGGAAGTCTGTTCATAAATGTCGAGAAAATTCAGACAGCAATCAACGTTATTAGAGTATATTTTTCGTTAAATCTCAAAATCGATCATTTTTCGTTTTCAGGTTCGCGATATCGTGGAGGAATGCACGTGTCCGACGCAGTTTCCGATGATTCACGTAGCTGAGGGCAAGTATCGGATCGGCGACACCAAGGTCACGATCTATGTCCGGGTCCTACGTAGTCACGTGATGGTCCGTGTCGGTGGAGGATGGGATACTCTCAGCCATTATTTAGAGAAACACGATCCGTGCCGATGCAGAAACTGTAAGTATCGCGCGCATCGAATCCTTTTCTCTAAACAAGTCGCAACTTAACGATTCTAATGATCGATCTTTTTTCTGGCATTTTTTTCAGCGCATCGCTCGATGGTCTCAGCGAAGCTCATTCAAAAGGCCGGCGGATCCTTCGACCTGGGCAACGCGCAGGTGCATTATGAACGGTAAGCCTCTGCCCTTTTTTTTTTTTACTACAGTGCAGTTTTAATTATACACAGATGCAAAAAATACACTTGATGGCGATAAAAACGGATCTATTTTCTTACACAGAATCAAATACTGATATTAAATTGAAACGCACGTTAAATTTTAACTCTTTAATTTTGAAATACATGTGAATACAGCAAATTACTTAGTTATTATATTATTTTTGTTTCTCTTTAATTGTGCGGGGTTTTTACATTTATTTTTGCTACTTTGTTATCTTGCACACGAATTATTTTCAAATCTAATATTGAATAATTAATTAATAGATTTTTTATTTCGAATTTGTATTTTTTTAAATCAAATATTTAATGCTAATCATTATGATTATCGTTATGTCTATGTTCTACATTTTGAGTGTAAATGCTAGCCAGTATGTAAATCCAGTGTAACATTAGTGATACTATTTTAACCATTCTACCGCAAGATATTTTGCATAGGGTAATGAAATACATGAATTCATAAACACGCGTTGCTACACATTGTGCACAATATTGTCCATAAGTACATTAGATTTATGCGAGAGAAAGAATTTTTTTCTCATTTCATTTAAAAATAGAAATTATATCGTATTACGTTTTACATCTTTCTTAATTTTTACCATAAACAAGCGTGAAGTAGATTTATTAACGCCAGCGATTTTTGTTAAATATATAATATAAATCTCTCTTTAATCTTATCTACGTTCGCGAACTTACATACGGTATTGTACACGTCGTGACATTTCGTCGCGAATACGGAAACTGGAAATTCTCCGGTGCACACCCGGTCAAACACGACCCGATATAACGACCGACATCAATTCCGCCATAAAGCCCGCGGTCGTTGTTTCCACCTCCAGATCATCACCTCCGAGAACCCGGCGGAGTTCCGCGTCGAGCGTCGGTTCGGTGCAGAATCTACAATCGGCGCAGCTGCACGCACCACCCAGAAGCATTTCCAGCAATCGCTCGCGATCGCCCACACCTCACCGGCCGACGGCCGGCAGCAAGCAACAACAACAGCATCAGCTGCAATCGAGCGACGAGCTGAAGAAGCGCTCGAGGAGTCCCACGCCACATAGGAAACTGTTGGCGAGCCCGAATCAGCATCAGGCCGATTTGGCGAAACAGAGATCGAGGTCGCCGACGCCTAGAGCGAACCTGAGATCGAGAAGTCCGACGCCGCGGAAGAATATAGATTCGTTCAAAAGGAACGCCAACGAGGAGGCGCGATCGCCACCTTATCACGGAAAACTTCAAGAAAATGGCCGAGTAAGTCTGCTCTTTTATCCTACGAGACAATTTTTTTTAGAATAATGCATAAAAAAATTACGGAAAAAATATTCTAAATATTAATATAACTTTTGAGAATTGAAATTCAACATAAAATATTTGCGATTCCATCGCGATAGTCATTACGAAAAATTATTAGTGAAATTATTTTTATTATATTTGTCAAAACTAATGATGTTATTGAATTAAGATATTGTCGAACATCTCGCGAAACTCGATCTTATAATCTTTTCGCGTCGCTTATAATTTAAGCAGAAAAATACGTAGAAACGAAAGAAGTACGTAATCGCAACCGGATTTGTTTGCTCTGTTCAGGAGAGCGGTCTTAAAGTACCGGGCGAGTTTACGAAACGATATATCGTGGAGGGTGGCGTGGCGCGTCGTGCCGTCGAGAAGGACGACACGCCAAAGTACGAGCCGTCCATCTACAACTACAAGTGCAGCGAGGACTCGAGCGGCAGTCGAAGCCCCACGCCGAGTAAAGAGGAACAACCACCCATCGAGACTTTCGGCAAGGACACCACGGCGAACACCCAGAAGTCGCCGCATGGCGATGGAGAGCACTCGGACAACTGCAGCGAGGTGTCCGACGAGGGTTACCGAAGCCTCGGTGCCCTCCAATCGTCCACCGCCAACGGGAATTCCGCCAGTACGCAGAGCTCGCCCACGGTTGCCGATTGTCAAAGTAAGTGGACACTGTATATATATTTCGCATGCAAATTACGCGTGAAATTTAAACGGGATTCAAAAAGTGAGACACTCCATCTTATCCAACAACAAAATGGATCCTTTCCATTTGAAAAACTGATAAAGATTCGCGACTATTTCCATTGTCCGCCGAGTGGTGACACACTGATCAGACTCTCGAGTGTCCGGCGTTTGAACGTGCACTCGCCAACGAGCGAGTCATCGTATTTAATAAGAGAATGCGGGATGATGAAGAGAAGGACAGGGAGATATGTGGATGCACAAACGCGTGCATTGTGCGATCGAGACGATGTCGCGTGTCGAGGCGCGGGAGACGGAAAAGAAAATCTCTCGACCGTATGCCGATGCGAATCGAGAGATTAAATTAGATTACGACGCGGGTGCGAGAAGGAGAGCGCTCCGAGAGCTTTGTCCGCGAAAATAGAGAGAACGAGATCGCGCGCGAGCAGGAATTTAATACTTGGTCGCGCGCGAGCGGCGTTTATCTCCGCCTGTCGATCTCGCGAGTATCGACAACGACGAATTAATTCGTTCGTTGAATCGGCGGCGCTTTGCGCGACGATAGATAGAGACGATAAATTTTCTTTGTCCAGAGAAAAAAAAAAGGTAATGCGCACAGAGAAAAAGTTACTCCGCGTGAAAGAGAGAAGGAATTATCGGGAAGAGATAAAAACTTGGATGTCGATTAATTTTTTGCGTGTCTATTTCCTAAATTCTATGCCAAATTGTATCTAATATAAAATTATTTACTTATGCGCAAATTTCTTGTTTCTTTAATTTAAAAATTATTTTTTCCGTAATCTTTTGCTAAAGCTATTTATAGATATCATGATGCGTCTATTTAATCTATCAAAATTTGATCAGAATCAGCGACCTGATTTTAATATAATCTTGTAGTCTATCGATTGCGTTTTCGCATGATTTAAAAAAATTTTAATGCCTTTGTTAAGTTAAGGAATGATTCGACAACGAAAGAAATCGAGATTCTAAAGTCCCGTTAGCTCACACGCACGCTTAAATGAGCTGGTAATAGCAATCTTACGATCTCGCGATGAAAGTCTAGTTTGCATCTCTAGCTCGATCAAACTGTCGCATAAATTCCAATACGATTTACATACAATGTGCACAAATTATTGGGAATTTATACGAATCCACGCATACATATACACGCGTTTACTATTTGAACGTCTCGCATTAATTACGCGCCGTTGACATGGGATCGGGCGGGCTTTTGTCGATTCATCGAGACCGTCCTGTCAGTCGAACATGACAAAAGCGTCGCATTCAACGTTCGATGGTAGCACATGTCGATCGTGTCTCGTATGTTGGAACGCGAGGACAAACTGTCCCCGTCGAATTCTCTCGAGTCTCTCTACAAATCGTTCGCGGGTGCCTATGATCCGACATTTGGATCACGTTGCGATTAAATATTCAAAGTGATAGGAGATATTCAAGTATATGCGGGCACGCAGCGCGCGTTATAAGATCGCGTTCCTCGGATCGGGCCGGGCTGACATTTAGCCGCTGTTGTCGATTATACGCGAGGGAGATCGCTCGAAGCGTGGGCGATCTCCAGCAACCTGTCCTCGGAACAATCGCCGCCGGTCGATCCTCGATAACACTCGTCGTACGCTCTCGCCTTGAACACACGCAAGCACGCATTCGTGTACATACTCGACTCACTTGACGCGGTTGTGACGCATTGCCGCAAGTGGAAAAAGTTCGCGGCGGCCAACCGCGACGCGACGCGACGCGACTCGACTCGCTTCGATCGTCCCGATGCTTATCCCTACGAGTGGAACGGACTGGAATAGTTCTAGTTTATAACCCGGTGACCTGAACACTTTTCACTTAGAGTGACGCGGAAATAACATGTTTTTCCAGAAGAAACTTGCTTTAATCTAGAATCTTAGATCTTGAACCAAAATATGCTGATATATATTGAGCATATGCGTCTGTTTTTCATTGTGATTACTCTTGGAATTTTATCAGTCTATTTAATCAGTTAAAATATATTTTTAAATTCTCTTAAGAATATATAAAATATTATATTGGGTTTTTATAATTAATTATCATAATCATTTTCTATTTTATAGAAAATGAGAACTTTTAATTTTGTCTTTCTGAATTTTATCATAAATTCTTTATATTAATTAGGATATCCGGAAATTGGTATCTAAATACAAATATAATCAGTAGAAGAAAAGTTGATTGTCTAAATAAGATGAAAGACTATAGATAAATGCAATATTCAGATACATACTTAACAGTGTTAAATGTTGTTTTTATTCCTTTCGAGCAAATAGAATGATTTATTGGAATCATTGCAGAGAAATTTGTGATTAGATTTTTTTATGAACCATAATTTACATTTTCATATAAAACATTTATGATATTTGCTCTAATTAATATATTATATATTTATATTTAAGATTTTCATTTTTTTTATATTATATATCCAGCATATATTATTTTTTTATCTATAAAGAATTCTTTGCAGACTATAATAATCTATTTACTCTTGTTAAAATTCATGAATTTCATTCTATCTGTCATACATACATCTCATTCTATCTTTCATTCTCGGTTTACGGTCGAGATGAACTTTCATGTTACATTTCGCGAGAAATGAAAGGACGGTCCGGGGGCGTTCTAGACAACAAATATTCTATCGAGATTTGCGCAAAGTAGCCGGAGGCGATCCCAGATGACTCATTCATTTACATTGATATCTTTAATTTATGCGATGGCGCTAGAACGTTTGAAAGATGCGCATTGAAGTATTTGACTTGTTATTTCAACGCGATGCATGCGATCTGCTCTCCGATGCGTGTCGGCACATTTATGATTCTATGCGTTCTGCTTCGATTTCGAGGGAGATGTTTGTGTTCAGTCAGGCGAGAAAACTTCTTCTTGGCATCGAAAGTAAAAACAAAAATTGCGCGACGATTAAGACGACCAGTTGAAACAAATGTGAAAGCGTATTAAAATCACAGCAACGAAATGTTTTTAGATGCTTAGAGAATTAAATCGATTGTTGATTAGAGAATTGCCTCGAGTTTGTTATTTCTTAATTATTTTACTAATTACTTGCTATGGGTATGTAGCGCTCGAAATATGGCAAATTAAATCAACCTAAAAAAATTAAAGAGAAAGACTGAAAGTTATATAAAGAAATTATCTCGCAAGGGCTTATAAACTTTGATGCATGTACTGTCCAAGAAAATTGAGCCTGGCAACGACGTGCAATTTTTTGAAGCAGCGAAATGAATTCCGCGATTTCACCAAATTCGTTCCAGCACTCTCGAGCGTGTCGTCATTATTTGGCAATGCTCAACGTAACACAGTAGTTCCTTTGCAGTAGTTCTTATAATAAGATAAATTAGCCGAAGCGGCTAATTTCCCTCGTTATTTTTGTATGATCGGAATTGTTTATTTTTATGCTATAGTTATTCTTTTAGATGCAAAATCGAAATTTTCTCTCGGGCATATATCCTGTTTAGTTTTTTTTTTTTTAAGGAAAAATAAACATCCTCACAGCGGGTTAAATATATTTTACAAAAATAGATCCGATGATATATATGAAAAGCTCAGAAGCTAGGTGTGAAGGAAATCTATAATTTTCTCGTTATAAACCTTGTAAATTATATACATTTACTTTTTTTATGTCATAAACATCATATAGAATATTGAACGAATATGAAACCGTGATATCGAATCTAGTATTAGCAGGCACGTCAAAACGCAGGTTCCTTTGCAACAAATTTAATTTGTAATTCATTTGCGTAATTTTAATAACAAGTTCCAAGGACTCGTTAGATCGATGAAGGCTGAATCCGGTTTGACCAGTAAGCGCGTTATTAGGACGAGATCTCGAAATAGATTTTCGATTCCCAGATTTTAATTACGAATTGCTTTCGCGCAAATATGCATATCTGCTGTAACTCAACAAGTATATCTATAATCGAACGCCTTAATATTTATGCGACGTTTTTGCGTTCGCGGATGGGATTAAAAAATACGATATGTTATTGAGAACCTGGTCGACTCTTCTAAGCTGACGATGGTTAAACACAACGTGACCGGTGAACCGTATTTCGAGGAGTCATTCTTCATTTAAAATTCAAGTTTGATGTATATTTTCTCATTTACATTTGTCCCGATGGAGACAACATCATTCTCTTTCTATCATTCCCGCGCGCGCACGTGGCATCGATACATGAATTAAAAAATCTAATTTCTCTTCTTTACCGAAGAATGGACTTTCTCTGTGGTTTATACGTGGGTGTGTACGCAATACGCAAAAACGAAATATGAAACGACATGCGGCATTTTGGTTAGGGAGCAGCTGATCAGAAAAACACGAAAGTCGATACTTTAATTACATAGCTCGTAACATATCAAGATATAAATTTTGCAGCAAAGAAAAGAAAAAAATATATATATATATTAAGTTTGTCAAAAAACTGGATATAAAACCGTACAATTATTGCAAATAAATAATTTTCAATAACTGTAATTGAATATATATATTCTTATGTAATATTAAATTGTATCAATTTTGTTGAGAAATTTTTATTCAGTTTTGTTTATCGGTAGATATTTCTCTTTTAAATATATTATTATTTTTTTATGGAAGCTGATAATAAAAATCTTATATGTAATCATCCGGATAATATCTCTTGATCAGATCAATAATAATATTAATAATTGTATAATAAATATAAAATATGATCAATAATTACTGTATGATCAATAATTATGTAATAGAATATAAATTACGTGAAATGAATATATGGTAAATAGATGGTAAAAAGGTTTACATAACTGGTTATATAAAAATTATGTAGAAAAATCCAAGCGCTCTCTCTCTCTCTCTCTCTCTCTTTCTCGTGTTATATAAAGCAGCAGAAGATTTATGGTTACAACTCGCGCGGGAGTCCCGATGAAGGGATTCATTTGTCTTTGGATTAGATAGTTGCTTTCGACCTTTTGCGGGATTGTCGTTTTTGCCGATGTAAATCATACAACAGGACCCACCATTCGGTCCCAATTGTGTCACGGCCCGTTCCTTCACCTCGCCTACGCTAAATATGTTAAACGCGAGACTGACCAATTCGGTGATCGTCGTGATTTTTTTTCGGATCCTAAATCACATGTGTTCGCGAAAGTTGACACCTCACGACGATGAAAAAAAAACTTGACTTGAGCCCCAATATTGATTGCTGCACGCATGTATTTGCCGTCGAAAATGTTACTATAATGACAATGTTAACGGATTGTCACACAACGGAAAACGACGAGATAAGAATAATAATTACACAGTCGTATAACAATTCGCTTATGTAATTCTGTAGTTTCTAATGTTTGGAATATTTTTTTATGTTTTCTGAGATATCTAGTTGCGGTTAATTAATAAGCTTCACCAAGTTTATTAATTGAAATAGACACACATTACGTTCAAAATTAGTGATAAAATTACGGTAATAATGTTAATGTTATATATAACGATTAAATATAATATAGTATATATACAAAGATTAAAGATATGTTATAAAAATTTGCAATTACATAAAAATAATAAAGAATAATGCAAATGTTTGTTTCAAGAAAAAAAATAAAAGAATTGACTGTAGAGAGATTAATTTTGTATTTTACATGTGCTCTTATAGCAGTACTGTTGCTAAAAAATTGTTAATTACGATTATACTTATAACATATATAACAAATCTTATATATTTCTCATAATATCTAAATCTTTATAATATCTAAAAGAAAAAATTACTAAGCTTTTGTCTCTCTCTCTCATATCTTTTATGAATATTCCAAAATCATTTTTGTGCTACTCTCATATGCCATGTAATAACCAATGTTGGAACAAACAAATAATTAATTATAAATTTTAAATACAGCGTCTCAGAACACGCGTCTTTTCCGTTTCCTGTTTCAGAGCAACCGCCAAAAACGGAGTCCGAGGAAAAATCTGGCGTGGAGACCGACAGTATTGAGACCGGGCTGCGCAAGGTAATTCGAAAGGATAGGCTGGCGAGTCCTTTACGAGTCTCGTCCCCGTCCAGGAGCGTGGCATCCTCGTCAACGGGCGACAGGACGCCACGCGCCGGTTCTGTCGTGCGAGAGAATAGCAATCTATCCAAGACGTCGTCCGGCAGTAAGACGCCCAAGGACAGCAATTCTAGTCCGGAGGGTAGCCCGCTAAACCGAGGTGGTTCGATACGCAAGGGCAACGGAAGCTATGGGACGGTACGCAAGTCAACGCCGACCGGAAGTCTAAGCAAAGCGTTGTCACCGACACCGATACCCAATTCCACGAAAACATCCGTTGGCGGTAGTGCCACGTGGAACGGCCGTCAGACTAGGAGGCGAGCTAGCATTCAGACAGACACCTTCCTGGATCCGAGATCGACGCCGGCCACGTGCACCTCGACGCCGAGTTTCTCGCGGAAGAGCCCAGGCAGGCAGAGTTTGCAGTCGCGGCCGAATATGAACGGGATTCAGTACGATAGGAACGGCAGGAGGATCAGAGGGTCTGCTACGGGCACCGCTTCCCTTCAATCGTCGCCCACCAAGGTAACGAATCCGCTGCTCGATCAGATTTTGCAAAAACTGGGCGATTTGAAGGACGAGCGCCAAATGGTGCAGAAGCTGCAAGGCCTTCTGAGGGACTATCAGGCTAGCTCGACCGACGGTGCCGCGAATATGGATTTCGCCAAAATGTGGGTGGACAGTAACGGGACGATGACTGTGCCCCAGGACGTTCAGGTATCAGTTACTCCCCGAAAAGATCCGAAACCCCAGGAAGGTTGCTCGAGGATACCAGTGCCTCGTACTGTCTCTTATAAAAGACCGATGTCTGTGGCGTCAGACAGCGTTTGAGAGTGGTTTTTCTTTTTTGATCGAGTTTTGAGAATCGCGAGGTATATCGGGTAACCTTCCTGTGTTAAACTAAGTTAGTCTGATCGGGTCAGCGCTGACGTTAGTGAGAGCAATTATATCCGCGCGAATAATCGCGCCTCTTGCTGTGCTTGATTCTTGATTCGATTTAATAGATAAGTCGGACGTCTTAATCACGATAGAAGATGGGAGGGAGTGTATGTATGTTTTATAGTTGACTTAAAAATATGTTTTATAATTGACTTAAAAAGATAGTATTTAAAGGGGGACTCAAAGAGAAGAGAGCTGTAGTTTAAAAAGTTTACAGATTTTTAGAGGCGAAGGAAAAGAAAACATCGAAAAATCCATGATAATAAAAATTATTTCAAAAGGATCGTTTTTTGGAAAAATTTTTATTTTTAGAGAATATCGTAAAAAACTTCTTTCATAAAATTGAAAATGTATTGCTAAAGAAAAATCTCTAATTTATTTAAATTACTATTTTTTAGATTTTTTCTTTTTAATATCGAAAGAAGATATTCTTTAAGATACTCTCTTTAAATATTTCAGATATTTATAAAATTACAAATTAATTATTTTTATAAGCTTGAATTTGGAGATCGAAAAACATTTATAAGTTTTAATACGTAAAACTTGAAACTTTAAAAGTTTTAGGGAAATCATATGTTATTTGAATTTTTAGGATCTAAATTTCGAAAAATTCAAATTCTACATGAATGTTTTGTATTATTTAAATGTTTGTTTTATTATCGTATATGTTATCATCATGGCAATTCGACGCTTGGACTATTGCTTTCTATTTCTGCTCTTCGCCTACGCCTTCAACAACCATCGTTGTAGATCGAAGACGTCCGACTAGAGAATAACTTAACGGGCCTTAACGGTACGGGGTCAATCAGTTAGTAGCTCTTAGTAGTCACGTATCGGGGTGGTGCTTAGATGGTGCTGAAGAACGAGATGACGTTTACGATAGACAACAAAGTAAAAGAGAGAAAAGGAAAGGAAACTCGTTCCGTGGACAAGTTTTCAATTGATTAATACGGACTCAAAAGTGTGCAATTAAATGCGGCGAGTCTCGCATAAATGGTTTTCCAATCGATCTACTTCCAATCATTTAGTTGCATCCTATATGTTCGTCTGAATATTGCTGAGTTCGAAATAATAAACTTTAAATTACCATGCAAATTTATTTAAAAAATTTTTTTAATTATTTTTATCTTATGCACGTATTATGACATTTATAAAAATTATGTATATAAAGTTTCCTTAAGTTTTTAAATCTTTTGACATATATATATAAATACTATTTATATATGGTTATGTTTATATGTGATTTGACGAGCATGGTACTTTAAGAGTTAATACGATCAATGATGCCGGACTTTCAAGATCACATATCGTGAAAAATTGTCGAGAGACCGTCGCAATTGCATGCTCAATCGTTTTCACCGTTACCGATCAGTAACGTCTAATCATTTTTATTTAATTATATAGTTTATCGGTTATATATTTATCAGAGAGATAATTTATTTATACGTTACGGCCTCGCCACGATAGAGAGGAAAGGAATAAAAAGAATAAGAAAGATATGGGAGAAATAATTGATTAAAAATTGAGAAGCGAATAAAAGCGAGAGGATCTCACACGTTTGGATCCATCGGATATAAAATCAAACGCCCCTTTCTCCCTTCTCCCCCCACCACCCGTTTCCCCCAACCTGAAACAGATTGCATTGTGCAGATAACGACATGTGTTGTCGAACAAATGCCATTCCAGTGTTTAACTGTTTTTTATACCAAACGCGAGCGTAGCGCCAAATTTTGTACCAAGTGTCTTAGTAACGGATTAAGGCGGAGAGAAAAGGATTTATTTTGTCGACGCGATTAGCATGCGAAAGAGGGATATTTTTTAGTACCGTGATTAGATAGTAAACGGTCAATATACGACGGCCTGAGTAGGAGCGTTTTACGAATATTCGGACGACGATGGTGTTGCCGATCCTCCTTCTCCGTTCGTTTCTCGTCGCCGGAGCTTTCAAGAAAGTCTTCTTTAATTCGCTAACATCGTACGCATGTTATACGTCCATCATGTAGGAAATATGCGAAAATCGTGACGAATCTTCTGATATAAAGAGCGGGGATTAGTCGCGATGGACTCCTTGCCTTATTCGGAATTCGAACCATTTTCTACATCTTACGCGTATAATATCGTCGTGTTTTCTACACACATACGCAACACACACACACACACACACACACACACACAAAAGTTATATAACATTGCCTGTAAATATATCCGCGAGCAGTTTCGGCGAAAAATCTTTCTGCTATTGCAATTAAATTGATCTCTAGTCTAGACGGCCATGGTGTGTATCATTTATTTTACTTCGAAATAGTTCGCGATGACGTTTAAATAAATGCACACAAAACAGATGGCCGAGAAAACACGACGGATTTGCTACTGAAGTTCGGTGCTGCGCAAATATGGCGTTTTATATCTTCTGTAAATATATATAACGAATACGTTGTTATAGAAGCATATCTTCGTTTTTATCATGTAAAGCATGTTCTACTAAGTTAAGCTAAGTTGACTTAACCCTTCGATAATCATTATCGTGATTAACACGGGTTATTTGTTACGTCTCATTAATTCACGATACAATGCGTATTTTTATATTTGGGCTTCTCCGTAGTATGAAGAACATTAGTGTAATGTGTGAAGAAAATGTTTTGAAAATTATCACGTGAATTCGAAACAGTCACTTGAATAAAAAAATACGAATAATCGATATTACGTGACAAAATTTTTGTCTTTGCCCGTCATTGAAGGGTTAAGTATGTCGAGATACTAAATCACCCCAAACATCATTCTCAGCGAAAATCCGAGATAGATCATTCGAGAGATTTACATATCGCATGATCGCACGATGCGCATAACCACAGAATATTTCTCCAGAATATGCAGGATTCAACAGAAGCTGCAATATTATTTTTTTAAATCGTTTTTCTGTCAAATATCATCGAGACATTATTTTGATCGATATTGTCACTTTCATACTTTCCAATTCTGAGGCAGAATAAGTGCACATTCATGAATGGGGCAATACGTAAATATTTGTATCACATCGAAAAATTGCATGATGTAGTAAAGTCTCGAGTACTCGCGTATCGATATTCGATAATCAACACGATTGTCCAAACTCTGTATTTTTCTGGGAAAATATTGCGCTCGGTTTCGCTTTTCTTAACAGTCATAGCATCGCAACAACATATACCAGAACGATCTGGTAGCGAAAGATAAGAGAAATATTAGTTCTCCCGTTACAGCGCGCGTTAATTTAGGCGCCGGGCGGCTAATTTTTAGGCCTAAGCTTTTGTAACCCCAACGATATCACGGCCGTGCGTTAATGATTAAGCAATATCGACGATTTACCAATATTAATATTATTATTACAATATTATTAATACAATATTATAGCAATATTATTGCTATGATGATAATGATGATTATTATCTATTATATTATATTATTATAAGATTATTATTATCATCAAGAGAATAATGCAGATTAATTGCTATGATTATTATACGCAACGTTGCCTATGTTACGTTATCATTTTATCTACGAACAGTTGTAAATTGACCAAAAACTATATAAAAAGATTAATAAAAGGCCTTAACAAGAAGCATTGCATCGGATCCTTCATTTCAATTTTCTTTCCTTTTGCACTACCTTATTCTTTAATTGGTTCATGTGGGATTCCATGATAAGATATGACAGAAATATAGACATGATATTCTGGGTTTTATATAGTATTATCATTGCGAATTATATGTTTTTTGCAAATGTTGTTTTCCGTTAATTAACTAATTTACATTTATATCTTTTCAGAAATAATTAATTTTGTATAAAGAAAATTTCTCGTTAAAAAATAGGATATTTTTTTTTTTTTTAATATTTGCGTACCATTAAATCGAAGCGATGCGAAAATCTGTCGTATTTTCCGGATTTTTTTCCACGTGACTGCGACGAGAGAGGGGCCTGTTACGAGGTCCAGTACCACACGGACGGCGGCCTTGCCGCATATGGTGAGACGGCTCTCCGCGAGAATACCGACAACACAACACGACACACTAACAATAGTGTACTGTATACGAGCGGCGTGTGTGTGTGTGTGTGTGTGTGTGTGCATCTCAACGTGCGCACGCTATTCCTCTCGGGTACGAGCGAGTGCGCGAATCTCGGAAGGAGCCATTTTTGAAATGTCCAGCCGTCGCGCGTGAGATTTACGATCGGTCGTAGTAGCCTCGATAATAACAGCGACGATTGTGCCAGAGTTTATAGGTATTAGCATAAATGCCGCACGTGCGTATTTTCTGATCGATGAGCCTTCTTCTTTTCGTCAGTTCGAAGCGATACTCTTCCTCCGAAAGTGAGAATCTTCTCGGATTTAAATAAGCGAAAAATCTTTCGTGTGTAAATTCTTTCCAAAAAGTTTAAATGGCATGTATCTATAACCATCCAAATGTTTGAAGATTAAATTATATGAAGTAATATATGTATATATACTTATATACATTAAATTTTGGTGTCGCATAAAAGTCATATTTAAATTTATTAGTCGCAATTATTTTAAGGAGAAGACTTATTTATAGATTATTTGAGTGTATATTTTATGAAATATCTACTTTTAGTAATATTCATAATTTTGGCATCAAGGATTTAATTGTGAACTTAACAATTTTATGATTAATAATTTTATATAAAAATTACGTTACAAATAGACACGAATCGTAACATTTGGATAGAGATTGGTATAGAAACTAGTCCCAACAAACGATTGCAAGCAGGAATACTCGCACTGGACCGACCGATCGTGATTAATGCCGTTAGGCTGCGAATCACGCGTTTATCCTTATCCCGAGTACCACACAGAAAGGACAAGTGATTTGTCAACGCGTGGAATTTGAACGGGTCCTTCTTTCAGAGAGGCCAGCGCACTTTCAGTATTATATTTCGCCTCTTTTGCTTTAGCTGTAATAACGTCGCGGTGAAAGTACTCCCACGCTCCCATGCTGATGACCTTACCTCATCCGAATTTGCGCCACGATTTTATTGCTGGCGGACACGCGGATTGCGTATAAATAGAACGCACCACATATTCACGCTCACGCATGCAGCTTGTCGTAAGGAGAATTATTTACGCGACGACGCGTGAGCAAATTTTAATTCTTAAAAACACAACTTTTTTTCACGTATATTATACTTCATGTAAAAATAAGATATCAAAAAGATATCATTGTGCCATGAAAGAAACTGAATAATAAAATATATATATATAAAATAAGTATTATAAAACGTACACTGATAAAAAATTTGAATATTAGAAAATATGACACTGTTGTGTATTGCAGGTAAAATTAAAAATATGCCAATTACAATTACGTGTAATAAAGATATATAGAAAATGAGATTTATATTAATCTTCCTTTTTGTATTGATAATATAATATAAGATCTTAAAGTAAAGATTACAAAATCCTAATTTCTAATTTACTATAATACATGCGGCTTCCTATTGATAGAATAAAATAGATATTGTGCAATTTCTTCATTAATAAAATTAACAATATTTATTTTTATTACTTATTGTAATTATTTATGCAAATGTAAGCGAATATTTAGAAGCAGATATGCTACATGTGATATTGTTTAAATAGATTTGTCGTATTATATTTAATCGTACTCTATGCATCTTCAAGTAAGGAACGAACGTAAGCGTGCAACATAAAATGCATATGATTGAAACGCACTGTTGCCTTGATATGAACGTCGTTTCAAATTTATACGTCAATTAGCTAGCCGATAAATAATCGAAGGTGGGCGGAACAAGGCAGACTCTGGAACACGAAGCGCGTATTAATGGTGTAGTTTAAACATCTTTTTAATAGACGATATAAATTAGCATGCGTTCACCACTTGCGAATGCGAAAATACTCAAACAGTTGTAATTTCGAGAAATAACGTAATCGTGATTTTTGTCGGGGATTTTCAGTCCACATATATGCAACGACCAGTCATTCTTTTGTTTATTTATTTAAAGCTTTTTAGACTTATGTAAGACGCGGCGGATAATGAAGTGAACGATGGTACGATTAACAAAGTACCTTGAAATATCCAATTGCGGTTTACGATTCAAAGGCTAATAACACAGAAAATATGATTCATGATTAAAAAAAACGCAGATGCTACATCTTGATTGTAAGCTAGAAAGATGATTCCTAGAATCTTATGTCATGTATGCATAATTTTATAGTAACCGAATATTTTTCTTGTTTCTCAAAAATGATGCTTTACGTAATAAAGAGTTCTTCATGTATCGGTAAAAGATAAAATAACAATAATTATAAAGAATAATCATTAACACAGAATTAAAAATTTTTAAATCTTTTTATAATAAAATCTTAAAATAAGATAATTTCTAAGTTGCAAAAAAATCGTTATTATGAATTTTGTGAAGCGGCATCTCATCGAAACAAACGATAGAAATTAGAAAGCAAAATTAGAAAAGTTCATAAGTCTCAATGATGTTTATTTTGCGTTTGCCTGGAAACTTCATTAAGAAGTGAAATCTGTGTTTAAGTAGCCGATCACACATTCATCAAATTTGATAGGATAGGCGTTCTTCGCGCAATGATAGTCACGAGAAGGAAACCTAAAAGACCGAAGCCGACGGCAATTCGTCAAAGATCGAAAGCCGCACGCATGTTTAATCATGCTTTGATATTACTTCCTGTAGTTATCACGAATTTGCACGTATTTCGAAAGTCGAATTTATCGCAATAATCCTTTTTTTTTCTCTTTGATCAAACCCGTAAAATTTAGAGAACTTTTTCTCTTGACATTTAACTAATGAGATTTATACGAAAGTGGCATATATATTGATTAAGAAATCATGCGGACTACTTGACGCAAATTCCAATTATTAAGAAACACATAATATAGCGTATAAAAATAGTTTCTAAATATTTTAATATTTAATGTAGAACATAGTAATTTTTGTACTCGAGATTATATAATTCGTAATGAAATATTTTTTTAAATATTTGTATAAATAGAGAAAACTATGAAGAGAGATAAATTCAAACTTGTCGATTAAAAAACTTAAATGCTATCAAAATGTTTGTTGTAATAATATCAGAGTGATTTATGTGACGATCGCATCTTAAGTAAAATATTGCATGCGAGAATTATCTTTCTTTCAAAGGACAAATAGGAAATGACGATAGGCTTGTCATTCTCTACGGTCCATCTGCCATAGTGTATACAGAAGCTTCATTATCTGCTCGCGCGTGTGTTTTCCCATTTATCTATCTCCGTAGAGAAACAGAGATTTCAGATGGGCGATTACGCGGCGAATAACATTAAGATCTTCATCGCTTGCCGGCTAATCGAATCGCATGGGTAACGGCTGTCCGGGACTCTCTTGCCCGATGTGTCTTGAGGCCCCGTGGGCGGCATGCAGGTGCCTCCGGGTTCTCCCGAGAGTGCGTAGGTACGCACTACCTACGCCCACCTGATGCTTGGTGCTCACCACGGTCCAGTAACTGACAGACTGAATACTAGCGAGATCGACGATCGACTCAAACGCCAAAGTTCCCTCGCTTATTCTCGTGAATGCCACGCGTTAAACTTTTTTCATTTTCTTGAAATATTAGTAATAATATTATATAATAGAGTAATTTTTCTTTTTATAATAGTAACTTTTTTATATCTTATTAATAGCTATAATAATATATAAATAAATGTATTCAATAATTGCATATCAATAAAATTAATATTATCAATTTTTGGAGATATATAAATTATTATTCGATCATTCTCTTTATCCAAAAATTATTAATGAGTTTCGCTTTATCAAGTGCTTATGTTATAAGATATAACGATACTTAAATGATTACTATCGTCGAGCAACTCCTGTAGCTACGGCAGCTACGCTAATGAAAAATGCGTTTTTAACATGTGCGCAACTGATAATTGCTATGGAAAACTACAAGCGGGAAAATAAAAATCAGAGGGAAAAAATATTTTCTGCAGCACAATGGTACAGCGGTCTTGCGAAATTACGCAAATGCATACTTCTCATGCGTTCGAGAGAAGATCTCCACTTAGTATCTACCCCTTAATTTACAAATTTATTCCTTACGCGATGTTTACGAGCCATCTCGTTTCGTCCGAGTTAAGAGTCTTGGTTTATGATGTTAGAAGTAAAAAAATAAACGATGGAACTTTTCTCCAACTTTGCATGAATAATTTTTTTCCCGGTGAAATTGGCGTGCATGCAAAGCAAACTTATAAAAAAACGTATTAGAAAATTTATTTTATAATAATCATTTTTTGCAAACATTTTATTTGTGATCAACTACAAGTTAAATCTTAAAACTAGATAATCTAGCATTTTTTTCAAAAATTTAATAAAATATATTTTTGTCTTCTACTATAATTTATAAACATAAAAATTAGGAATAAGAAATTGATAAAATCATAAAATTTAGAAATATTGAATACCGACAGAATTATCGGATTTTAAAAATGAAGGAATCAGTGAATGGCCTCGAAATAGGCAGAGTTAATAAATAAAGATCCGATACATAGAGGATTAGGAAGTTAGAAAATGCACGTACTC